CCACAATATGTTGTTGTTGTTAAGTGCCACGAAGCACAGCAAATAGAGTTTCAGAAAAGAAAGGATATCTTGCAGTATACAACAAGTGGTCTCTAATTGCCTTGAACAAAAGGAAGGAAAGTCAGAAATAATAGGAGAAAATGGAATGTGTGGCTAATTGTCTCCAGGAAAAACTGCCCGATTATTTTGAGACCAGAAGAACTGGATAGTATCTGGTTAACAGTATTGAACATTTTATTAAACATTCTATAGAGGAATCCTGATGAAAGTGGAGGAAATGCAGAATAGAATTTCCAATTTTCAAAGAATCCCAAATTTCTGGAGCATTTGAAGTTAGATAAATCCCTGTTATTACTGCCTTGACATAGTCTTTAAAGCATAAAATAAACATATCCTCTGAATTTTTCTTAAACCAAACAATAATGTACTTTAACAAGTAAGTTGAACTAGAGCACTGTGTTCTTTAATATCTATTCACGTGACACTGACAACAACACCTGGACAAATTGGGTATAAATCTGAGTGGACAGTGAGTTTATGTTAATGAGGGAGGAATAACTCAGAAAATGAGGGTGAGAATGTTTGCCCCACTCAAAGAATGTAAACAACATGTCACTGAAATGTACAAGTAGAAATTGTTGAATTGATGCATGTTCTGCTGAGTCTAGCCTCAACAGCAGCAACAAAAAATTTTTAAATTATGTTAAAAATCATTGGTAAGTGGGTAAATCAGATATCAGGCAGCACTCTCTAAGATGTGCATCCAATTGGATCTAGGTAATACAAAAGATCAGTTTTCCGTGATTAAGTTTGACTTGTTTTCTAATACTAATACTAATACTAATAATAATAAGATTAATCTCCCGAAGGAATCTTAGTAAGTCTATGTTTGTTATATATTATGGTATCTGAAGTTAATTTGTGTGTATTCACAGTTTGTACGGTCACAAAGCCACCAGAAGACGACATTGCTCATTTTCAGTAATTTGTAACTGAATTTAAACTTTTTTAAATGCATCATTGATGTTCAGGAGCAGTTATAATAAATCTCAGAATCAGAGGATATATGACAAAATTTTCTGTTTAGATTTACTATAACAACTCATTCAATATTTAATAAGCATTAATTGATTACTTGCCATGCAAGAATCACTACCCTAGGCTATATTTACACAGCATTTTAACTACAACCTAAACTCAACAATGCTTTATTGACTACGCAAAGGCTTTCAATTGTGTGGATCACATCAAGCTATGGACAACATCACGAAGTATGAGTATTCCTGAATGCTTAATTGTGTTCATGAGGAATCTGTACCTGGACCAAGAGGCAGTTGTTCGAACAGAAAATGGGAACACTGAACAGTTTAAAATTAAGAAAGGTGTGCTATACAGTTGTATTCTTTCACCATACTTATTCAACCTGTATGCTAAGCAAATAATCCAAGAAGCTGGGTTCTATGA